AGGGTTATGGTTATGCAAATCCAAGTTCCTGGTTCCTGCTGACTCAATGAGGAAGGCCCCCAAAAGTTCCTTGTACCCTTTTATGACTGTCATAAAATCAGAAATCCCCAGTCATGCCAGGCCAGTGCCCAGGGTAGTAAACCCCAAAGCCTTTGACAGGCTCCTAAGAAACCAGGAACCTGGATCCACCAGGACCCAGAGACACTTCTGTGTTGAAGAAGGATGGGGGTACAGTCCAGACTGGGGCCCTGCTTCCTTCCCAGGTGCTTCCAGGCTCACAGCCCTGTTCTGGATGTCAGAAGCCTTCCACTGCAACACACCTGGGCTTCACCCAGGGCCTTGGAGCAGGGTTTGCTGGGAACAGAGCATCAGGGCTCGCTATGCCCTGAGCCACCGCTGGTTGCCTCACTGCCAGGCACCAGAAGATGGTGAAGGAAGAAACAAACAGATGAAGAGATGCCAGTCCAGATGGGACAGAGGGAAGAGCAGGTTTGCTGGTCTTGCTGAGTCCGAAGTTGGGAAATCCAAACACAGGAGCTGAAGGCAGGGTTTGTGCAGCATGGGGGAACAGGGCTCCCAGAGCATATCCTGGCAAGGTGCTCAGAGAGAAGCAATACTAATAATCACTTTTTTGGGGACCAGGGATTAAACTCAGGGGCACTCAACCACTGAGTCACACCCCGAGCCCTACTTTGTATTTTATTTAGAGACAGGGTCTCACTGAGTTGCTTAGGGCCTCCCTAAGTTGCTGAGGCTGGCTTTGAACTCATGATCCTCCTGCCTCAGCCTCCGGAGCTGCTGGGATTGCAGGCATACGCCACTGCACCCGGACTAATAATCACTTTTATCACTGAGCGCTCACTGGGTATCAGGGACGTCAGAGTGCTCTATACATAGTAGCTTATTTAAACAACAGCCTCAGAAGGTAGGTCTTATTACCTACTGCTACCTCACTGTAGAAAGAATCTAAAATAAGTGGCAAAGTGCATTTAAACCTCAGGAGCCCTGCTCTTAAGCTATCCTGGACCACACGTGTTTGATGGGGCACCACCTCCAGCAAAGTCATTCCACCTACAGGGAAAGGCCTGGATTCAACTTGCAGCTTTGCCACTTATTAGCTGTATGACCCTGGATGATCTCAGAGTTCTCTCTGAATCTCAGTTTCTTCCTAAAGTGAACAAAGTGGGAAAAAGATAATGTGTATAAGTACTTGGTATAGAGACTGGCACAGAGTCAAGCTCAAAAGCAGTAGCTGCTAACATCATGACCTGGGCTGATAAAGTGACCATGGGAGCGGGCTGGCCAGACATGGGAGGGGACCTACGTGTTGGGGCAGCACCAAGGCTTAGAAAGCTAAGTCTCGGCACTCAGCAGGCTCTGTGCCACGAGACTTCAGGCTGTCCCAGATGCCAGGCTCCATGCCAGGTACCAGGGCATGGTGAAGGAAGAAACCAACAGATGAAGAGATGCCAGTCCAAATGAGACAGAGGGAAGAGCTAGTTTGCTGGTCTCTAGGGCTTTTAAAGAAGTTGCTTACTTTGATTTCTCTAGAAATGTCAATGGTCCAGGCTGAGCCTGACATGCTCAGAGCAACACAACCAGTTATCCAACTGCAATGACATGCAGGGACCTCAGTTAGGAGACAGGATGGGCTTTCTCTAGCACCTCTCAGGGAAGATACTGGAAACTGTTTAGGGCAGTTACCCGGAGTCAGCCACTCTAATTTCCCTACACTGCAGAAAGCCTAAAGGGGAATGGATGTGCTCCAGCCCACACGGGAGGCTCCTGCTTGAGTTGGTTTTCTAGCTGATGGCAAGTAGGTCTCTCCTGTAGCCTGAACACCCCTTCTTCCAGGCCTGTGACGAGTGACTTTCTCACCATGACTCATTATTACCTCCTTCATAACACAGTGGCCGACAGGAAATGTCACCAGAGTTAAGAGACAGCTTAACATTAACCCTGGCTCTGCCCTTTCCGAGTAAAACCATGGGACATCAGAGGAAGATAACAAAGTGGTGGACAGGTGGCAGCTGAGGTGGAGATGGGAGGGTGTCCATGACCAAAGCCATCAGGGGCTGCCCCTTCTCAAATCCAGACCAGAGAGTCAGACAGCCTGGCTAGATCAGACCTGGACCTGTCACTAGCAGGGT